TGATGTCGACGATGAGGCAACAGTCGAACGGTAGAATTTCTTTGGGGAAGTTATCTTTTTTCGGTATCCTGATGTTGTTTGGGAACGATTACTCGAATGAGGTAATATGACAGTTACGTTTGGGTCCGTTTGGGTCCGTTCGGATCCGTTCCATGGTCAGCAGCCCTGCAGCTTATTCTTCTAGTATTAATTTTGCTTGTCAAAAAAGAGGAGGCGAAACGTTGTGATTAGTGCGTAACAATATATATATGTGTACCGTGCAGGTTTAAATGACCGCGAACAAACATTTCTCTTATTTTTAGGATATCTATGGAAAACCGTACAAGGAAGGCAATATGCACCATATATTAAATGTCAGATATGGCAGATTATTAATGAGTGAAACCAATGTAGAAACACTACCTCCGGAGAATAATACTCTGCTCGAAGAAAAGTTCATGGGATCAGTGAATACAAATGGCGAAACTTACCTGCAGGACCGTTCCGATGTAACAAAACATAATGATAGCTCTAACTCACGATGTAGAAAGAGTAGTCCTCGCGACAGTTCAAGGACAAATTCGAACAGTACAATGGATCGTGGTAACGTGGACAAATCGAACGAATCTTTAAACTTGAATAATTTTGATGAGGATCAAGGCAAGGAAAGGTTTGGTGGATCTACGCATTTTGTCAGCACAGAGAGTCTATTGGAAGAACGAGCCGATGATGATGATTTTGGTCATGACAGAAAGGTTGGCGAATCCACGCATTTTGGCAGCATGGATAGTATATTCGAGAAAGGAGCCGATGACGATCATGTTAGCGATGACACAAAGATTGCTGCGTGCACGAATTTTGGCAGCATGGATAGTATATTCCAGGAAGGAGCCAATGACGACGATTCTAACAGAATCCAGGAAATTACAGAATCCATGACCTTTGACAGCAGGGACAGTTTGTTCGAAAAACGGGTTGATGTTGATGTCGAAGAAAACAACAGAATGGTTGAATCATCAGAATATCATAATAAGCACAGGAGGTCCTCTAGTAAAACAAGTATCGATATAGAAGATGAAGTTTTCTATTACTTAGAAAAAACACAACACCGACATGGATTTTCCGGCAGTCATATTGGAGATTTCGTTGAAAACACAATGTTGGGTAAAATATTCAGAAAAGTATCTTCCAAGGTTGGATCAGAGGGGTTGCTACTGCCCTTAAAACTTAACGCGCAATGTAAAAAAACGACGAAGAAGCTCGCAGGACGCTCCAGTACACCGAAACATATTTCAACTACGAATAAAAGATGGGTAGGCTTCGGTGTGTCCAATTCTGCTTTTAATATAGCAGCGGCGTGCATGTGCTTCGTACCAGTTCTTAAAGATCTTTGGATTATCATATTTATTTCTGCAGCCAGCGGGAGCATAGTAGTTGTGCTCTTGATTTTGCTATACCTGTGTATTCGCGGAATGAAATGGTCAAGAACACGAATAAACAATTGACGGCCAGAACTCCCCCCACAACTGACAAAAACCCAAAGATACCTACGAAACCACAAATACCTAGGAAACCAAAAGTTACTTTCGTTTTCTACTTCTGGTTGGCAATTTCAATGTTATGATTTTACATATGCATCAGGTCTACCTTCTTATGACTTTTTGCACTGTGTGTATGATATCGTTCATTAATAATTGTAACATATACTCCTGTGTTCTGTTTCAAACTGTCATATTGTTTGTATTTTCCTAATACAAATGGTTTGCGCACACATAGTGCTGTTTGTTTCTGTAATCATTTGATCCATAGACATGATGAAAGGACAGGGCATTTCAGAAAAAAAAAGGATTCGTCCTTCTATGATTGTATATATATATATATATATATAACAAATAATTATTTTTGTACATCCTATATTTGTAACATATATTACACAATGACCATCTGAGTTAATTTATGCAGTGCCTATTCTTATAATATGTAACATGTTGCTGTTCTTGTTTCCTTCCGTATTGTTGCTTGCGTGCTGCTTCGTATAAACTCCCATATTGCCAAATGAAACGTTGTTGCACCTTACCTTTGATATGCACACAAATGGAGGATGTTATAAATTGTAAAAGTCCATATATGCGACAAGTCCTTCACCGGAAGGGTGGCATGTGTCATTTGCACACGTAATATATTGTATCATCTGTTCGCCGATATGTGCTGTGTGACGCGTAATGTCCCACGGGATTCGCTCAAGATTTTTGTATACATGGAAATACACGCTTCTTTTGAAGTGGCCGTATTCTTCGTAAAAACGTTAATCGTACCGTACCTTCTAAAAAAACGCATGTCCCCGTTTTCTGCTATAATATGACACACACCTTCCAGTGCACTTTACAGGGAATGAACATGGTCGTTGTGCTCCTTAAATTCCGCGTAAGGAATGTGCCCCTGCGTTCGTGTTGTATTGGACACTGGAATTATATGCAAAAACGAATATAGACCTTGGAGTCTACTACTGCAACTAATGCAATAATTCCCTTCGGCTAGTTTTTAGGTTCGCCGTACAAAATACATTGTTCACGCCACCCGCGCTTTTTTGTCGTTCATCAATAACTTTTGGCCTTTTACCCTGCGTAGGGCATAACAAGGGACTGGGGCCGGCATGGGCACGGCAATATTTCGGAGTGCTGCACACTACATTTTTCTGGTTTTCTGAGAATTCACTAATCATTATGGGTGATGGGAAGCCATATAGGAAGCTGTTCCTTTGCATTGGCAAAGCCTTTCATCCTTCCCTTAGCACATATAATACTATTCCATCCCGAAAACCATTCTCCTAAAACTTAATTCAGTCATATGCGCGCTTTATGTACATCATCGTGCCTTTATGATTTCCACTACATGATTATACGCACACTTTCCATAGTCATTCGCTGTACACACTCTGCGTGTAATTCATTTGGTTCTATAGAAAAACAAAAACAAAAACAAAAAAAGAAGAAATCAGCATTAGAGCAGAATTGGGACGTAAGGCCAAAATAAGGTAATTTGAAGTTCGAAAAAAAAAAAAAAAAATAAATATTCGTACAAATGAAAAATAATAAGATAATAATAAAAAAATAACGTAAAAACAAAGAATGGCTGGACAACATTACGCGCAAAAAATTTCCAAGGTAAAATTTGCCGCATCCCTGAGAAAGAACACATTAACCAATGTGTGTTAACAAAATTGAGGAAAAAAAGAATTTACATGTTCAGGCGCACAACAGCACATGTACTTACGCATTCTGTACAAACGTAGGCCGCGCGCTTGTACTGTCACACATCAAATGTACCATGAGAAAAGTACACACAACAGATTTAGAGCAGCGGCAACACTTTTGCGCAATGCATTTCGGCGTAGCCGCGCGGACCATATATGTGCCTTTATATTATGTTACACCCACCTAAAATAATTATTCCGGAAAGAACAAATTCTTCCTGTATTCAATTTTGTCCCATATACTTCTCACGAGTTCACTTCTGAAATTGGGAATCATCCCGTGTGCATACGATTTCGTGCCACGTATGATAGGTGTCTGCAACCATGTATGTGCCTACTGATGATTTGAAGCTTAGGTATTTCCGCTGCTCATGATATTTGAGGACCCCGTGACATATGAAATTGGTTACTCCATACGGGCTCCAAAATTTTTACAATGAAAAATAAAGTTTACTCAGTACTTTTGTCCGTAACCATTCCTGTTCCTTCCTTTGTTGGTATGAAGCTATAGCCGCCCTTTCTTGTGTACTTTATTCCTTATGCCAAGTCCCAATATGGGCACACACCGTGGACCTCGGCAGCTGCCAATGAGGTCATAGCTCGTTACTCAATGTGCTAATTTGTTTTTGCCCGATTTAAATACATACTGCTTACATTATCATAACCGCTTGTTACTACTTCCCACGCACCCCTTTATGGTATCCTGTTGACCAATGCATTCATTGTTATCTTCCCAAGTGCGTGTATGTCCACTGTGTTTATGTGTTACCTTCCTTTATATAACTTCCGTCTTCCCATAATCCACACGTGTCATGTGCACAGAAGGTTTCTATGGCAATGATGGATTCCCTTGGGGTTCCGCCGCACATATAGCACAGTAAACATCCATAAGACCTGACCAAGCCACAGAGAAGAATATATTACACACGGTGAAAAAATCTTGTTGTACAATATAATCCAAACGTAGCGCATATGATACCCCGTAATCACATTTCCCCTGAAACAGAACTCTGCCCTTCCTTTATAACTTGCCTCCGCACCAATAATTCCCAAGAGACGGAACTCTTCCCTTCCTTTATAACATGCCTGCGCATAATCCCTGCACAATGAATGTTTCCCACATGTCTCCCCACATACACGCTCCACTACTTCAACACACACCGTAAACATACCGCTCAATACTAACTCCTGCTCATAACAGTGTTGCAACTAATGGACGGCGCATGACACCTTACGTGGTCATTTCGTAAACCAGAATAAACGCCACGTGGAATAGCATGTACGCGGTCAGACGCATTTTTCCGCCAATTCTAATCGTTTCCTGATATAGAGGCACCATATATACCTGCTGCTTCTTTCATTCATCCATATTACTTATGCTGGTCTTTCGGATGTCTTACCAGTATCCTTCCATTGTTCCGTAGATATGCGGTCGTCCATTTTTCTTAAAAGGAGAAATTTCTTCCTCATACGTATATTCGAGGAACGCAGGGCAGCAGCCACTGTTTCCCTTGTTCCTCTTCTACATCACATAGCTGATGAGTCATGTAACATCTTTTAACCGCTGTTCATTGTTCCTACTATTATAATGTCCGAGAGCAGGAAGATCAGGATGAGAAGAGGAGGCAAGTGCAAAGAAGAGGATACCCTCGGACTATTTAACTCATGAAATTCTCTGCCAAGGTCCGATGCAGTGTATGTATGTACAAGGCACAAAACGAGGGGAACAGAGTTTCCCATCCAGTAACAGTTAATAGGCACACTGGGAAACACGAATTAAGAGAATTCTATAAATGTACAATGTACTGTATTGTACTCGCGTGTCCGTTAATAATATACGCAACATAGTATATATACGGCCGAGTATAAATATCAGGGGAAGTTCAGTGTACGCCGTTATCTAATATAGAGTTCGATATTTCCGCCTCCTCCCATCCACCTCCAATAAATTATCAGTCCTATTCTACGTAATCCCCCTTTTCTTTCGCCTAAGAACGGAGCAGCGGTGTACTCATTCCGACTTAATTCCTTTTTCAGTCGACAAAAGGATTCCTTCTCTTAATGAATACATTACTCACAACATAGAGATCACGCTAAATTAATGTCCCGAAATCTCCTACGCAAAAAGTGGGAATTCTCGTACTCGTCCCCTATTATCAGGTGAACATTGTCGTTTGTGGTAGAAGTTATTACGGTTTCTTATATACGTATACGTAAGGATTATATAGCCATATGCCACATGAGAAAGAAACGGGAAAAGTAAAAACATCTACTTACATTCCTCCTCTTATGTGTCCTTCTCGGTTTGTTTTTATGAGACTACTGGAAATATTTCATACAGAAGTATATTATCCCCCAGGCGGTTGTTTCCCGAAGAATGCATTCCCAAACATTCCATAACGACATGTTCCGTGCTCATATTTTCGTCACATTGCTATTTTCTACATATATATATTGTGTATATGCTCTGTGTATATTCATCCTACATTCATAGGTTGTACACTCATACTTTATTCAACGTTCTTTGCTCTACTATTTACCATTATACTATTTGTTTTACTATTCGAAACGGCTTCAGAATTACTACATTTCATGATGAATATATTGCTAAAAATATATTTTTAAATAATTGACCCTACGGTGTTTTTCAATATTTACATGAGCCTCAAAACCATGGAACTCCGAATGCGTACACCCCTGAACCCTTGAACCCTGAATTCTGTATATAATATATCCATTCTATAAAAAATAACCCGTTTTTGGACTAATCCGCTTTCGCACATTTTTTTTCTTTTTTATTAGCATTAACACTTCGGCATCGACATTGTGGTGTATATGAACGCAGCGGGCTCTATACATTACTTAATATATATACATTAAATAAACCAAGCGCATAACGGTTGTATAACTTATTCTGGCCATATTACCACTGTTGCCATAATTAAACTATTTTCATAATACCCGAAAGCACCGCTCTGTATACGTACTCTCATAATTTTAAGTGATATTATTATACAATTCATGGTGCGTGCCTCTCCCCGCGGTGTAATTGTTGCTTTTTGATGCACATACTTTTCTCACCGGTTTCTTTTGTTGCATACACTTTTAAAAAATTCGTGAAGCCTTTTTCCCTAGTAATAAACATAAAGACACTGCTTCATTTTATTTTTTTTCCGAAAATATTATAAAGATAGTAAAATCACCTTTTTATTCTTGTATTTATTTTTACTTGAGTTTATGTAATGTTATCACAAATTACAATCCTAAGCATATAAACTGGCTATTGATTTTGTGTAATACAAATAATTCCAGTGTGACTACTACTAAGAAAAAATATATTGCTACTTTTTGTCGATTACGAGTAACCATTTCATATCATTTTTATTTTTATCGAGAAAAAAACTA